ATTACTGAGGAATTCTTATGAGAGAATATTCATGGGTTGTATGGCAATCACATTCTAATTCATTTATCAATTAATTTGGTTATATATTGTTCATTTCTTTTATTGTAAAATAGGTGATGGCAATTAGTGAATCATCAAGATTGTGTGCTTCTTTAAAGAAGGAAAGCGTACCTGTTAAGAGGCTCATTGTTAACCAAGTTATTCCACCCTCTGCATCAGACTGCAAATTCTGTGCAATGAAAAGGAAGGTATGCCTGGACTACAAGTCTTTCAAATGGTACTTGCAATATTCTTAAACAAATTTTGATTTCTACTGATGTTTAGCATAATTTATGTGACAAAGAAGGGAAGAGAGAAGTGGAAATTCTTTCTAAGCTTTTGTATTTCCATCAGTCATAATTCATGTTATGCGATTGTGTAATAGCAAAGCAGAGGGACTTGTTTCTGTGACTTGCACTCATTTTGTGGCTGGAACTCTTTTTAGCCTACTTGATTATTTAGGCCAAGTTGAATACTTGCTATTATGAACATATTATATTCAACTTTTATCCTTGGCAAATTTTCGGGGTTTCCTTTTCTAGAATTGTTAGAATGTGAATTATGCAGTGGACTCTCGGCAGCTACTTATTAGCTTTGGTTTTTCAAAAGCTGAGCATGGTATAGCATTTATTAAAAACCGTGTTTTGAAAATTGAAATCATGCTTTTAATTAAAGAGTTTTGAAGCCAAAATATGTTTTCAAAATCAACATTTTTCAGCTTAAAATAATTTTACAGAAGACGTCAAAAAGCAAAAAAGTATACCTCAAAGTAGTTTCTGGCTTCATAAAATGTTATCGTAAGTAGTTGAGAACAGGGTGGCTGGCAAAAGTGTAGTATGTAGGACAACCTTCCTTCCAGTGTAATAATTTCTTTAATGGTTTCTTTTGGACCATGCAAGTCTTCATAGGTTTCTGTGTAGCTTAGTTCTCTTCCTCTCTGATAGTCAGGAGTTAATAGCTCATTAATGTATGGTAGGACCAAATGCGTTCTCTCAACATGATTCAAAGTGATCCAGAACTTTCCAGCTTGATGGTGATACAAGCTCCCTTGGTGGATGTAGAAATCAGAGGTGTTCCAGCTCTTCAATTTCTGGGGGATATTGTCTGGAAATGATTCTGCCAGCTAATTGGTAAAACCTTTTCATTTTTTTAATTCACATAGCACTTTCCATTGATACAGAAAATGAATTACTCCGAATAGTTGCCCAACTGTTTTTGGCTTTCTGCTCATCCCATGGTTGGATTGCTATTTTCTTCCTGTCTTGCATTGGCAGCCTTTTTTTCCCCATAAGTCTGCTCAAGGTCCCACAGTTTCTCTGTGTTTCCTTTTTTTTTTTTTTGTCCCAAGGAAAAGTAGTCTTGCTTTTGACATTACCTTTTGCTCTCATTTTCCATCGGAGGATGTTGTCACATAGTATGGATACATTGTTTCATGATTAAGAAAAGATCCACTTTTTGGAATCTTCAAGTTTTGCTGGGCCATTTACTGTAACTGATGTTATTGCAATATCTGATCAATCCACGCGAAGCAGCACATATTTTGGAGCTTTATTTTCTGACTTCTTGGGGAATAATATTGCGTGCATTTGTGTTTCTTTCATTCGTTAAAGCAGGTATTGCAACCAATCCAATCTTGGATTATTATGGATATCCTGGCTCTGCTGAACTTTTGAATCTTCAAATTGGCCATTTTTGGATTGAGATTAACTGATACAATCATCTCAAAGGCTTCATGCTCCTGTGAGCTGATTTACAAGCATGATAGACACAGTGAAAGTGACAGCAAAATGGCTGCAATGAAATACTTCGGAAATAGCCTACACAGTTTTGCAACAAAGGAGAGAATTTCACAATAAAAGAGAACCATGCATGTCACACAACTGCAACGTTCAAGAGAACGTTTATGTTGAGACCATCAAAGTTGTGCTTCCTACAAGATAGATGGTGCTTTAATTGTACAGTACAAGATTGTGATTAGTCCTCGGAGATACTCTTCTTTAGCAAACTCTTGAGGTCAGAAAAGAGAATTGATCTTTTTAATATATACTACTACTAACACAGCACGTCAGTTTGGATTGACCTATTTTTCAAAAATAAGTTTTTTTAAATATAATGTTACAGTAATATACAAATAAAAATAATTCAAAAAATATTTTATTCATATAATATATATACAAAAATATTTATAGTAAAAGTTTTTACGCTGTTATAATAAAATATTTTCAAAAACAGCTAATTCAAATGGAAGGGATGCGTTCAAGATCGATGGCCCAATTCAAGGTGCTGTTCATCGCGACCTCCTAACCCTAAAGTGCACTTTATGTAGAAGGACCATGGAAAAACAAATTTGATCCTAAACACAGTCAGAAGAGGTCATTTTTCCTTCTCAATGGGAACTTCACTGTGCTTCACTTGGTGACTAGCTCAGGATCAAATGCGTACAATTCCTTCTTTGACATCGAAGTCCTAGAAATCCCATATCAACAAAGCAGGTAAGACCACAAGAAGAAATTTTCTATGCAAATTATCCTCCCCATACAAGAAAGATGGTTTGCAAAATCTCCTAGAAAAATGTATGCCAAAATTCAAGTTCTCGTATACCCTTGATGAAGTTTCCATTCATGGAAGAACCCATGGAGCTGAAGGAGATGTTCCATCGATGAGGAAGGCACAGAGGCGGCAGCTGTTTCTTTTAATGTGGTGGTTCCAAGTTTTGGACCTTTCCAAAAGCAACATCAGAAATTAAAGATTTTTGCTGCTGATCGCTATCCTTTGATGTATTTAGTCAGAGGAGAGATATCCGGATCACCTCGTTTCCCCGGAGCAGCACCAAACACCCCCTCCCCTCCCCTCCCCTCCCCTCCCCCGCGGCGGGTAGAATGATCACCTTCCAGCATATATATGCGTTTTCATGGAACATCCATGTGTTTAGTTACAACCTTTGCTTCTACGTTTCTATATGTATAAATTCCATTGACACTTGATTCAAATGTTTAGTCCGTCTATGTGTTACTTATGAGAGTTAGCATGTAGTGGTTTTAGCTTTTCATATTCCCATAATATATATATATATATATATATATATATATATATATATATATATATATATATATATATATATATGCTCTCATATTCTCTTATAAGATTCATGTATATCGGTTGTGGATTAAACAGCCCTTTCGGATAGGTTTAATGTTTTGGATTTTAATGATGACTTAAAAGAAAAAAATGGCACCTAAAACTCTTAATCTGCATTTGCACTGTCCACCATGTCCAGTTATTGCTTGTGCTCGATTTCTGTTGGAAAGGTAAGATTAAGACTAGGAAGCAAGCTAATGAAAAGGTATCTCGAATAATAGAGAAGAGAAAAAGTTAGTACTAGACAAAGCTCTACGTGCTCCTGCATCTTGGTCCAGTTTGGATTGGAGTACTTGAGAGTTTCTGCAAAAAAAAAAAAAAAAAAATGATGTATGTGATGTAAAATAATAATTAAGAAATGTATTGAAGGAATATATAAAAAAAATATCACAAAAACTCGCAATCCAAACGTCAACTTAGTCTTTATGTTATACAATTTGAAATTTACATACTTGGAACCAGTGTTTTAAAAGGCGAAAGTGTTGGGCAAGATGTTTTATGTCCATCTAGTGGAGGCAAAAGCCCCACAAATTTTTATTTTTAAATATTTTAAAAATATAATATATATGTATAAGCATGTGTGTATATATATGTATAATATTAAAAATACCAACAAAAAGATTAGATAAAATAAAAAAAAATACAACCTTGTGTCTACATAAAAAAAAAGCAAAACTTGTTTGTATGACTAAAAGTAAAACCTACTTGTATGACTAATGTTATGCCATAAGCGGAAACCCAACTAACAGTGTACCACTATAAATTTTGATGAGTATTTGCATAAAAGACTTGATGTGATCCCCCAAACAAATGATCGCAGTTGTGAGAACTCTTTTCCAGGGCACTAGCAATTGTTTTATTTGGATAGAGGCTTATTTGCCAAAATTTATTTGCTTACATCATTTTACAATTTTCAACACATATTTTTATCTCACACACATCACATCACAAAAAGTGTTACAGTAAAAATATCTCAAATAATTTACAATCCAAACATATTTCGAGTTTTGACTATCAAATCGAGTGTCTTTCCCCTATTTCTTTAGAATATCTTCAATGTGAAGCACAAAGTTTTAAAATTTCACCTCCTTTGTATTATTAAATTCCAAACTAACATCCATGTTCATCAACTTAAATTTGTAAGCTAACATAAGAAAATTTTTTTAGAAATTGCAAATTCACCTTGAGGGTCTCAACTTCCTTAAACAGGTGAAGAGAAAATCCAGTTTACATGTTTTTTTTTGGAGTTTAAAAAAGAGAAAAAGTGCTGAAATTTTAAAAGCACACATTTTTTACGTTTTAAAGAAAACTCACAAGAATGCTTGGGCGTTCGCCCCAAGAGTCGGGGCAAATGCCCCATAACAATAACCCCCATTTGATCGTCCAAGGATAATTCAAGAACACCTTGTTTCGAAAATACGCCTTTCAAAACACGGCTTAGAATTTGAAAAATAAAATCACTTATATTAAAGTTTCTTTAGCCAATTGTACACAACAATATACCAAATCTAAAATAGTTAATTTCAATTTATTTTAGTTGCAAAAAAAATATTTTATCCCACTTTCGATGGAATTGTTTGTCCTCCAAAGAAATGGCAGAGAAATGTGTTTGAACTCAAGAACAAACAAATTTTCTGCGGTTCAGATCTGAAGCTACGTCAGCCGACAGATCTGAGCCGCTAATTGGGATCCGTTGCTTGCAAGTCTTTACGCTACTTGGTCATACGATTTGCACGACAAGTCACCCTCAGGTATCCTCCAAAAACCCTACACTAAAAAAAAACCTCTCATCACGCACAAGAGAAAAAAAGGGAAAAAAAAACATGAATCCTTGTCTTCCTTTTGCTGCAAATCTTGTGCAAAGTAGCCTCCGCAGCAATGGGTTCTCGAAAAATATTGTGCTGTCTCCGCTGTCCTTGAACGCCATAGCAGCCATGCTGGCCACGGGATGTTCAGGACGCTCTCTGAAGCGTGTACTCAGCTTTGTTGAATGCGACGATTTGGAGCAGCTCAAGTCGATGTTTTCGCAGATGATGTCTATTGCAACTTCCTCCTCCTCCTCCTCCTCTCCTTCTTCCTCCGCCTGCAGTGGCATGAGTAATAGCTACCGTCGTTATCGAGGCCGTGGTGGTAGTAGTAGTCCTCCAAAGATCTCATTCGTCAATGGAGTTTGGGTGGATTCTCGTTTTCCCCTCAAGCCCTCGTACAAGGACTGTGTTACAAACGTCTTCAAATCAGATGCCAAAAACGTGATTTCAAAAGGTACGTGTTACTATGTGACTGGTCTTCTGTTGCTGACTCTTGTAATTAATATTTTTTTTTTTGGCTATTATGTTGGGACAAAAGAAAAATAGTAGTTTGTTAGGGTTAGTGAATGGTGTACGATATTAGTATGATGAAAATGGAGAATTCCGTGTTGATGGAACTCATAGTGGGAAAGTAAAATAAACAAAAAAAAAGGGACAGGTACAAACTACAAAATTGTGGATAAGTGCATGTAGGCATAACAGGCTGATATGTACATGTACAGAGATGTAATTGAGCCGAATCGAATCGAGCATCTTATGTTTGAGCTCCGTCCGTTAAGCGATTCGAATAACGTTCGTGTTTGTTCGTTAATTTTTGAACTCCAAACATGTGTTCGTGTTTGGCTCGTTAAGCAAAGTTTATATTCGAGTTCGAGTTTGAGTTCGAGTCGACTCATTTAACATAAACAAGCCGTTCGCGAACATGCTCGAAATGCTCGAATCCAAATTATTTTAAACCTTAAATATGACATACAAATCATTAATCATTCTAAAAAACAATTAAAAGCACTAGAGACTAAATTCTATATATTCATAACTATATAACTAACATTAACATAAAATAACAAATAAAACCCTCCAAATATAAAAGTCTAGCCATAAAATTAACCCTAAAATTTGTCAAATGATAATTATGGTCATGTTTGCAAACGTTCGTTAAAACTTGTGAACATGCTTGTGTTTGGTCTATTATTGATCGAACAAAAAAATTCGTTCGAACTCAGTTCGTTTAAGATTTCGAACGAGTTTTTCACGAACACGAACGTGTCGAAACGAACCGAGCTACCAAACAGTTAGGTTCGTTTAACAACTCCATATATGTATGTAAGGGCATGTGTGCATATCTAGTTGATCAATTATGCTGTTTAATTACCTTTAGTACTGTTGATTATAAAAATCTTCCCAATTCCTCTTTTGTAACTTCGTGCATTAAGTCAATCAGTTAACCTATGAAAAACTATTCTTGCTGAATTTGTCTTGATAATGTTGTTTTATGTTGGACTCAACGAAATTTTGTGTAGGCTGATAAAGCCATCAAAGAAATTAACTCATGGGCAGACCTGCAAACGAATGGCCTCATAAAAGATGTTCTTCAACGTGGCCACATTAGCCCTGTTACCGCACTTATACTAGGAAATGCTCTTTACTTCAAAGGATATTGGGCAGACGAATTTGATATTACAAGGACTCGGAATCAGAACTTCTCCCTTCTCGGTGGAGACAAGGTTTCTGTTCCCTTCATGGGCATTTCAGGACATTATCTGTACGGATCATTTGGTGACTTTAAAGTCATCGAGCTTCCCTATAAAGTCGGCAACATCGGAGACAGGAAGAGATTTTCAATGCAGTTGATCCTCCCACACAAGATAGATGGATTGCAGGATCTAGTATTGAAGTTCAATTCCGGGTTTATAAGCGGCCATTTCGAGCTTGAGAGAACACTTGTTGATGTCGTGCAGATACCCAAAATCAAATTCTCAAGCGTTCTTGAGGAAATTAAATTTCCATTCATGGAAGAAGACATGGAGCTGACAGAGATGATTCATGCTAGAGATCAGCCTTTCATTTCAAAAATAATTCACAAAGCTTTTATCGAGGTGGATGAGAAAGGCACAGAGGCAGCAGCCGTCACCTTTAGCGCAATAATCGGCCATGCACCCGGAGAAATACAGCGAGAAATCAAGACCTTTGTAGCTGACCATCCTTTCATGTTCATCGTCAAAGAAGAGACATCTGGATTAGTCCTCTTCGTTGGCGCTGTAGTAAATCCCCTCCCAGAATGATCGAACATATATAATTGCTGGAGACGTGACAAAGATTTAGCAGTCTAAAGCATTAGGTTTATTTCGGAATCATTAATCTTTTAAGCACCCTTTTTCCCCCCTCTCTCATTTAGGCACCAGAATGGTTGTATTTTGATTGTGTATTAATTATGAGTATTGCTACAAATTATGAAAATAATTTCGGGAGTGTCTAAGTTATACAAGGCGACGGAGTACATTCATCACGCAATGATTGATACTAAAGAACTCCTTCACGTAGGCTGTCAAAGTTCTGTCATGCAAAAACCTCCATTTATATTTATGTACTGCTGATCAAGTTGATCAGCAGGAGACCGGGTAATAGGCTCTGAATCCGGCTCCTCCCATTACACTATGTCTCCTGTCTCAATGCATATTAGATGATTGCTATTTGTCAACTAATTTCGGATAACATATACGGGAAAAAGCAAAACTCGAGCAATTCTAATTACCATCAAAAGAAAAAAAATTTCACTTTCAATTCTCAAATATGAAGAAAAAAAAACCTCAATATAATAAAAGCAAGTTCAATCGGAATCCAAAAGACATTGCAATTCACAAGGTTCAATAAGCAATCGATAATTCACGATCAAGAGTCCAAAAATGACACTTGAGAGATTGTCCTCGGGTTGAGGTTTGATGGAATTGAGTTCGTTGAGATGTATGTCTACACCACACAGGCTTTTATATATGTTGAGAGTTGAGCGTTGAGAGTGACTAGAGCAAAGGGCTTATCTTTTGTTTCTATTAAAGTCGTGAGTTCGTTGTAATCGGTCTATATCTCCACGTCCTTGCTTCTTCTTCGAGCCTTGCTTCTCCCTTCCCACTCTTTCTAGTAATGCTACTTCAGAGATGGAGTACTATATTTACTTTGATACAATAGGAAAATTTCCAATTGGCTGCCGGGCTGAGCAACCCAACAGTTTTAAATTTTTTTTTTTTTGCTTTGCCTATCACGCTCATTAAGCCCAGCAGGCATAGTTCTTTCTATATTACTTCATGTTAGGTCAACATTTTTACCATTTTTTTTTTTAACAATAAACAAAGGAATTAACCCAAACAAACGGTCTCATAAAAAGTATCTTTCAACCTCAACATATTAAACTTTTTTTTAACACAATGTCTTTAATTAAATCATTTATGAAGTATTACCATGCACTTTTACATTGTCCCGTCCAAGCTCTTAAACCCATCGAAATTAATTCCTGGAAACAATAGAGAGTTCGATTCTCAGAAGGTTCCAACTTTGAAAACAAAGGGTGAAATTTTGACTGCTGTTTTGTATACAGTAAAGGAATCAGTATCTGGGTTTTAATGAATGTTAATATCTGGATTTTGTATACAGTAAATGAATGTTAACATCTGGATTTTACAAGGAAAACCACATTAGAATATAAATTTATACACTACAGATCGATATCAAATTTGCGATCGAAGCAAGTTCCTAATCATTAAGCCGGGCAACAAAAGTTAGAAGAACCATCATGATGGTTAGTTAATTAGCAGACCGCGTCACTCCTGACTTATCCTTAGCTTGAAAACCCAGAAGCCATGCTTTCATGGGTGATTGACTCACTTTCTTTGAATAACCAACATCCCGAGCAAAGCTATGACACGACTGGCAATGCCAACGAGGATTAGAACAGCTATACAAAGTGTCCAGTCATGGAGATTAATGTAACCTACATCTTTGAGTGCATGCACTACAGCGAGTCATGATCCACACACCATAGTACCTGATAATTAACCAAAATTTTATGATGAGACATATTTCTGTCTGGTTCACAAGTCACAATGTTATAATTTCCTAAGAAGAAGACGTGCATATGTGTTAGTTAAATCCTTTCATTTGAAACTTAAACTCAACTTGGTTTTTCGGCTGCATCTCTTCTATCTGGTAGGGTTTGCATTTTAGCGAACATGTGTAACATAATTACTTTAGGGATTATTAGAACTGTGTAGACAAATTTACAGTCATATCAAGAGATATAAGACTTGCACAATTGAGACTAGCTGCAGTTTTCACGTTTTATGCACTAAAGCAGGCATCAAGAATTATAATCGATGGAAGTCTTAACCTTGTATGGAAGGACCATACCTTTCTGCATTTTGAGCAACAAATGCTTCTAAAGCCCACTTTGGATAACACAAGTTAGCTATAAGCTTATACACTTTATTATCTTTGGTTGTAGTTGCAATAAGAGTCAAAACCACAGAAAGAAACGCTGAACACTGCAAACGGTCAAAAATAACAGGTCAAATTGAAGAAATCAAATTTAGAACAATTCAAAGAAAGGTCATACTAGGGTATACAAGAAATTAATGCTCACCAGCTGAGAAGGTCCAGGATCAAGAACGATGGCCAGTGCATAAGCTATACCGGTCACACAATACACGAGGCAGAGCAAAACAATGTAATTATCCGTGAATGATGATCTGGGGTTAAAGAAATTAGACAAAAAGTAGAATACAGTGAGCTATAATGAGAAATTTTGCAGAATTTGTCCCATATGTGCACCTATTATCATGAAGTCTAGTCATACTTCGGGATATATCTCAGTACCGAAGAATTGCAACTTCTAACTCTTGTGAGGCAATTGAAATGGCCAGTAAAGCAAGAACAATATTAACATGGAAAAAGAGGTAGTTGGTCCTTTCAACTTACAAACTGCAATAATAATATAATTGTAACCATGCAATCGGAACTGATAATCGCTTTCTTTGCCAAGTATTCCCAAGCTGGCCCCGGCAAGTAACAGAATGAGATAATCTATAGCTTGCATTCTGGCATCACGTAATCGTTGCTTGCCAACCCTGAGATCAGTACGTCCGTGAGTAACATCACAATGTGTGCTTGGTGAAGTATAAAGAAATTTAATCAATTTTCTAAATATTAAGACATTTAGCAAGTTCCAAATGTTAATACATGTATAAAGGGCCAGCAAACCCTTCACAACTAACAGGAATTTGCTTCTGAACCAAAAGATTTAATCAAGAAAGGATGTCGTATCAACCAAACTTTTCAATCCTACCTTAAGTAGCTATATACAACTAATGCAGGAAGATCACGTATTCAAAACTATGGTGGAGAGCTCAAACTCAATATTTGATTTTTGTCCTTTTTTTGGGAAAGTTCCGGAACTTTTTCGAATTTATGTTGTCTGCTACGTAAATCAGTATGCAAGTTTGTTATTTTACTCTTTGCCAGCCATATAGAGAGCTTTCTTCACTTTCCAGGTGCAAGAAAAGCTTCCTTATCAGACAATAAAGAAGGAGATCAGTCGGCAGTTTGATGCAATAAGGTACAGGCAGGACAGACTCAAAGGTTGGATGCCATTCATATAGCTTTTATCTCGGCAGCTGTGCACAGTCGCTGACTGATATCTCCTGTCGAGCCTTTGAGGGTCAGTATCTAGAGATGGACTTTCTGGCATTGGAAACTGCAAATCCCCCTAGTAGGATTAATTCTTCAGTGATCTACCTCCAGCACCATGTATTTTTTCCGTTATTTGTACCGGCAGCTAAAGCTACGGGAGAGCATGGTTCGAAGTCTCGGCCGAGACCGAGACGACTCGGCCGAGTCGTCACCGTCTCGGCCCCTACCGATACGATATCGTGACGAAACGATACCGAAATACTTGACTCGCCGAGAAATCGGCCGAGACGTCACCGCGACGGATTGACTCGTCCGAGTCACACCGAGTCACTCCGAGTTATCTCGAGTCAAGACGAGAAATTAGCCGAGTTACACCGTGACGGATTGACTCGGCCATTTCTTTTGCTATTTTTTATTATTTTTGTTTAACATACTTTTTTTATATTATTAACAATTTTTAGAATATTAAATACTTTAAAATTTGCGTCTCACCGAGACCGCGCCGATATGCCGAGACCGGATGTGGAACGTTCCGGGCCGCGACCGTGACCGCGACCACGACTTTGAACCATGCGGGAGAGTGTTAAAACTTAAAAGTTTTTTTAGGCCAACACTTTTTTTCGTTTAAGGGGAGCCTCTAAACCTTACTAGCACGAGGAGAAAGGAGAAAGATATGAAAGCCGAATCACTGAAAGGTTGTTATCAAGTCGAGTCGAGTTCGATAGTATATTATTCGAACTTTATTCCAGTAAAACTATTCGAACTTGAATTCGAGCTCAAATTTAAACTTATTTTATATCTTTCTCAAGCTCGATGTTGAACTTGACCAAATTGAACTCAATTGAGTGTAATTGAGTTCAATCAAGTTTTTAAACTCAATTTTTTAGTAAATTTCATAATTTTATAATACATAATTAAAATTATATTATAAATATACTACTCGATAAGATTCTATGACTACTCGAATTTTATTTTATTTCTTGAACTCGATTCGATTACCTTATCAAGTAACTTGAACCCGAACCAAACTACTCGCAAGTCCGATCGAATTGAGCAATTTAATTAATTTACACCCCTAATCTCACAATCACAAGCAAAGGGGAAATATATTTTAAAAATAAAAATAAAAATAAAATATAAAAGGAAGCTTAAGTGTGTGTCGAACGACCTCAAGAATACCAGAGTCTGGCTATATACTACACTTTGACATTTTATGACTTTAAATTGAGTTCCCTCTATTTAATGGCTTTTTCATGAAATAATTTTACCACTCCAAAGATCCCCACATTTTAAGGAATCACTACATTCATTGTAATAACGATGTCCATCACCAGCCTCACAAGTTGGGAGTTATTCAATTCAAATCAATTGATATAATTCTTATATTTTTTTGATATAAGTTTGTGCAAATTGGGTTTAATTCAAATTTCTTAGATTTAATTTGAATGAATTTGTCAATTCGTATAAGTAAGTTAGTATAAATTTTATAATTACACCGAAACTAACTAATTTACATTAAATGCGTAAAGAATTGGATGAACCAGTTGGAATTTGACAAAACTCAAACTTTTGCAACCCGCCGTAATCACATGAAACTCAGGCTCAA